GAAAGGAGTATGTCAAGGCTGTATATTGTCACCCTGCTTATTTAACTTACATGCAGAGTACATCATGCAAAATGCGGGGCTGGATGAAGCACAAGCTGGAATCAAGATTTCCGGGAGAAATATCAATAACCTCAGATATGCAGATGACACCACCCTTAAGGCAGAAAGTGAAGAACTAAAGAGCCTCTTGATGAAAGTGAGAGAGTGAAAAAGCTGGCTTAAAGCTCAGCATTCAAAAAACTAAGATCATGGCATACAGTCCCATCACTTCATGACAAATAGATGGGGAAACAATGGAAACAATGAGAGACTTTATTTTGGGGGGCTCCAAAATTACTGCAGATGGTGACTACAGCCATGAAAGTTAAAGACACTTGCTCCTTGAAAGAAAAGCTATGACCAACCTAGACAGCATATTAAAAAGCAGAGACATTACTTTGCTGACAAAGGTCTGTCCAGTCAAAGCTATGGTTTTTCCAGTGGTCATGTATGGATGTGAGCATTGGACTATAAAGAAAGCCGAGCACCAAAGCACTGATGCTTTTGAACTGTGGTGTCGGAAAAGACTCTTGAGAGTCCCTTGGACTGCAAGGAGATCCAACCAGTCCATCCTAAAGGAAATCAATCCTGAATATTCATTGGAAGGACTGATGCTGAAGCTGAGACTCCAGTACTTTGGTTACCTGATGAGGATTGACTCATTGGAAAAGACCTGATGCTGGGAAAGATTGAAGTCAGGAGGAAAAGGGGACAACAGAGGATGAGATGGTTGGATGGCATCACTGACTTGACGGACATGAGTTTGAGCAAGGTCTGGGTGTTGGTGATGGGACAGGGAAGCCTGGCGTGCTGCAGTCCATGGGGTCACAAAGAGTCGGGCATGACTGTGCGACTAAACTGACTAATAGAGGACATGCTGGAGATCATGCCAGACACAATTCGGCCAAAGCGTATCTCATCATCACTAGATGTGACTCCTTGAGTATACACTAAACCTCCCTGGATCTTAATGCAGTTTTAAAAGGTTACTTTCCATTTACAGTTATTACAAAATATTGGCTATACTCCCTGTGTTGTACAACATATCTTTGAGTCTTAATGTCCTCATCTATGAAAAAAAAACCTGAAAGAGTTTCAAATGAGTTTTAAAATAGAACTCTTTTAAAAAATAAAGGTGGAATGAAAATGAAAATAAAACACACCAAAATTTGTGGGACACAGCTAAAGCCCTGCTGAAAGGGAAATTCATTAACACCTTATGTATATATTAGAAAGGAAGAAAAGTCTCAAGTCAGTGAGAAAAAGAAAAAGAAAAAGCAAGCAAAGGAAATAAAAAGACCAGTTTTTTGAAAATAGAAAAATAACAGAAAAAAAAGGTGAAACAGAAATAGTTCTTTGAAAAGGTCAGTGAAATTAACAGACTTCTAGCAAGACTGACAAAGATAGGCAGAAGATGAAAATTTTACCAATATCAGGAATGAAACAGGGATTATCACTATAGACCCTGAAGAAAGCAAAAGGAGATTAAGAGAATATTATGAACAAGTCTATACACATAAATTTGACAATTTGGAAGGAATGGATTGCAAAACCACATACCATCACAACTCACCCAGTGTGAAATTAACATGAACACACAGATAACTATTAAGAAATTTAAATCTGTAAGTTTAAAGCTCCCCAAAAAGACATCTCCAGGTCCAGATGGTTTCGCAGAAGAATCCTACCAAACATTTAAAAAAGAATTAATACCAATTTTATATAATCTCTTCCAGAAAACAGAAGAGATGGGGACACTTCCTAGTTTCTTATATGAAACTAATATTACTCTGACTTAAAACCAAAGACAGTACAAAAAAACCTGCAGACAAATATCCCTCTTGAACTTTTAAAGAGTATCTACAAAAGAACAGCAGCATCCTGCTGCTCTGATGATGGACTGAATTCTTTCCCGCCAACATCACAGTAAGGCAAGAATGTCTGCTCTTACCACACTTATTCAAATATGGCAGAAAAGGTATACAAATTGGAAAGAAAGAGAACTGTCTCTATGTTGAGATGATATAATTTTTATGCACACAAGAATTTACTCCAAGGAATTTACTCCTAGAATAAATTAATTCAGCAAGGTCAAAGGACTCAAGATAAACATACACATCTCAATTGTATTTCTGTGTTAAAACGATATAAGGACAATGAAAATAAAAATATGGTATCATTTATAACTGATAAAAAATGAAATGCAAATCTAACAAAACAAATGCAGGACTTGTGTACTGAAAACTATATAAGTCTGATGAAAGAAATCAGAGAAAATATAAAGAAATGGACAGAAACACCATGTTCATTAGTTGGAAGACTCAACATAGGTAGAGATATCAATTTTCTTTAATTTTTGACTTAATGTAATATCTATCAAAATCCCAGAAAAATTCTTTGTACATAGATAAGACTATTCTAAAATTTGTAATGAAAGATATACTAGAATAGCCAAAAATTTTTGAAATTTAAGAATAAAGTGAGAGTAATCAGTCTACTCTATTTCAAGATTTATTTATATAGTTATAGGAATCAAGACTGCATGTTAACAGAGACCCCAGAAAAAGATCCGCACAACATGCTCAACTAGTTATTGACAAAAGTGCAAAAGCAATTCAGTAGAATATGATAGCCTTTTCAACGAATTGTTGAAGTATCCATTAGCCAAAAATGACCCTTGACCTAAGTCTTATACCTTATATAAAAACTAACAAAATGGGTCATGGGTTTAAATGTAAAACTAACTACAAGACTCTTAGGAAAAAAATAAAGAGAAAACCTTTGGTATTCAGAGTTAGGCAAAGGATTCTTAGACTTGACAAAAAAGTACAATCCATAAGAGGAAAAGGTGATAAAATAGATTTTATCAAAACTAAATATGTTTGCTCTGCAAAATATTCTTTAAGAGAATGAAAAAGAGAAAACATTTGCAAACCACATATCAAGGACTGGTATCTAGAATACATATTTTGAAAACTTCTAAAATCAGCAGTAAAAAAAAAAAATCCACAAAAAGAAAATGGGCACAAAAAATGAAATTCAATGAAGAAAATATAGATGGCAAACAAGCACATGAAAAGATGTTTAACATCACTAGCCATTAGAAAAATGCAAGTTAAAACCACAATATATAATTACATACCTATCAGAACATCTTGAAAAGAAAAAAAAAAACAAAACAGGAACTCCAAATGCTGGTGAGGATGTGGAGAAACTAATCTCACATACACTGCTGGTGGGAATGGAAAATGCAGAAACTCTGGGAAACAGGTTAGCAGTTTCTTAATGAAACTAGCAACTGCCATATGAATTCCAGAGAACTGAAGACAATATTTTCCTTATGTTACATGTTAACATACAGAAATGGTTTATAGCAGGTTTACTTATAATAGCTCAACAATGGAAACAATGTAGGTGTCCTTCAAAGTGTGTTACATCCATACCATGTAATATTTACTCAGCAATTAAAAAGGAGCAAACTAATACTTGGAACAACCTGAATGAATCTCCAGAGAATGCTACTGAAGGAAAAACATCCAATCCCAAAAGGTTATATTCTAGGTGATTCCATTCTATAACAGACTTGAAAAATTACAGAAATAACGGATTATAGTAGTTAGGGGTTAAAGAGGAGGTGGAGTGGAAATGAAGTGGGTATGGCTACAAAAGGACAAGGGAAGGCTCCTGTGGTGGGGGCAAGTTCTGTTTCCACAGAATCAGTGTCCATGTGCTGGTAGTGGCCTTTACTATGATTTTGTAACATTTTACTATTAAAGAAGAGTGCAGACTCATTGGAAAAGACCCTGATGCTGGGAAAGACTGAAGGCAAAAGAAGGGGGCAGCAGAGGATGAGATGGTAAAATAGCATCAAATGCAATGGACATGAATTTGAGCAAATTCCAAGAGATGGTGAAGGACAGGGCAGCCTGGCGCGCTGCAGTCCATGGGGTCACAAAGAACTGGACGACTTAGCGACTGAACAACAACTATTAAAGAAAATTGGGCAAAGTTACTGGGGAATTCTGTTTTTTCTCACAATTGCACACGAATTTACAGTTATCTCAAAATAAAAAGTTTAATTAAAGGTAACATTACTGCAAAATAAACAGAGCAACAGACAAGAAATCCCATGTTTAATTCTGAAGATTAAACTTCACTCTGAAACAAAGACGTGCACACAGACACAACAACTGTAACAAGGCAGGTCAGAGAGGAAAGCCGAGATTTCTCTAAAAACAAGACAGAGAAGAAAGAGACCTGGGCTGAATCAGGAGAAAGACCCTCCTCCAGACTCTGTCAGAGAAACCGGCTGTGTGATTCTGGACCCATCACCTACCCTATCAGGTTCCTACCAGCTAAACTTCTAGAGACTGGTCAGATCAGCACATCTCACTTTTTGGTCTCAGGTCCCAGAAGAGCTTTTGTTTACGTGGATTACAATCGCTGGTATGAATAGTTTCAGAAGTTAAATTTTTCAAAAGACAAGTGGTCCTTCCACACGGCGTAGCTGTCAGGAAAAACTCCAGGGACACAAGAGAATGAGTGAAAAGGGCAAGGAACAGCTTGGTGTGGCCGAGAACACCTCTGTGGCCCTCCCATGGCTTACTCTGAAATGAGACCAGTGTAGAGGAGGGACAGAAAACGGAACACATCAGTCGCATCCGTTCCTTTAAAGGACAGGGGCTCCAAGGCGGGAAAAAAAAAAAAGGCTCCAATCCCAAAGATGTCAACGCTGGGTAAGGTGGGAGGTTTGTGAAGGCCTGGGAGGCCGAGTCCAGTGGGGCGCCCGCCACCAGTCCCGCTCCCGCGCGTTTGGGACCGTTACACAAACCGCCCGCTTCACACCCCACTCTGGGGAGACGGGAAGCCGGGAGGCGCCGCCCGAGGGAGCGGGCGGGAATCGCGGGCCCAGCCGGGAGGGCGGGTGTCCCTGGCCGAGGGCGTAGGGCTGGCGGACTCACCAGGTGCCGCGCCACCTCGGAGGCCATGGTCCGGGCGACTGGGCGGGCGAGGGGCCAGCAAGGCGGCGGCGGCCGGCCGAGCCGCGCGTCCAGCAGCGGAGGGCGGGATGGAGCGCGGCGGGGCGGGGGCACAGGAGGGAGGAGCGGAGGGGAGGGGTCCCCCGGCCTCAGTGACGTGCGGGGCTGAGCTGGATGGCGCGGGGGGCGGGGCGGGTCTGGTCGGGAGGGGAGGGGCGCTGAGGGGAGGGGTCCTGTGGCCTCAGTGATGTGAGGGGCTGAGCGGGGTGGCATGGGGAGCTGGAGTCCAGGAGGGAGGGGAGGGGAGATGAGAGGAGCGGTCCAGCGGCCTCCATTGAGCTGGGGCTCCTAGGCGGCCTGCGAGTCAGGGCTCCCAGACACCTCCTCGAATTGCGTCTGTCACAGGAGTGCCCAGATGTTTTAGAACAGCGGTCCCGAAACTTTTGGGCACCAGGGACCCTTTCATGGAAGATAATATTTTCACAGATGCGGGGAGGGGAAAGATGGTTTCGGGATGATTTATACGCACAAATATACACACATATTTATTGCACACTTTTTCTATTATTATTATATCCGTTCCACTTCAGATCATCAGGCACTAGATCCCAGAGGTTGGGGACCCCTATTCTAGAGGATGACCAGTCAGTGCCTGGGAGAGAATGGAGCACAACTGCTAAGTTAGAAAAAGAGGCGGGGAAGAGCGGCCATGGCTCCTCAGACCTTTGGGCGGGGCTGAAGCACTGATTGCGGCTAGTACAGAGCCGGAAGTGGGCGTGTCAGGGCGTGTCCTCTGGCGGGAGCGACCAGTGCGGCCAGTGCAGGGGCCGGAAGTGGGTGGGGCCAGGGGGTGTCCAACGGAAGGCACTGAAGGCAGCCGGTTCGAGGACCTAAAAGAGGTGGGGCGGAGTGGGGCGGGGCCCGCGGGAGCAGTAAGGCGGCCTCCTAGGAGGCCGGAAGTGGGTGGGGCCCCCGACGGGGGCGTGTCCGCGGGCGAGGCAGGGGGGCGGTGGCTGTTAGTCCCGCGGCTGAGGCGCGCTAGGAACTTGCGGAGCGGCCGCCGCGTAGGTCCGGAGCCAACCAGGTTCGGTATCGAGATGGAGGGACCGGTCAAGGGTAGAGCTCAGGATCTGCAGGCCGAGCTGGAGCAGCCCGTCGGGGGCGCCCTGGGCGGGTCGCCCGAACAGCGCGCCAGCGTCCGCGGCCGCCCCAAGGAGCCAGAGGACGAGGCGGGAGACCGCGCGGACCCCTTCGACCCCGTGGAAGGCATCCCGAGCGCGCCGCTTGGGAGGCGACCCCGCGGTGGCCCGGTGGGGGAGGGTGCGCGGCCCGAAGCGCTGGGCGATGCGCCCCCTACGCCGCGGCCGGGCCGCACCGCGCCCCGGGACCCCGCTGCAGGCGGCTCCCCTCAGTTGCGGCGCGGCCCCGGGGGCGCGGACGGCGCAGCGGCCGAGGAGGAGAGCGCGGGCTCGCTGACGCTGGATCCGCTGGAGCACGCGTGGATGCTGTCGGCCGCCGACGGCCGCTGGGACAGCCTGGAGGGGCTGCTGGCCTGTGAGCCTGGGCTGCTGGCCAAGCGCGACTTCATCACCGGCTTTACCTGCCTGCATTGGGCAGCCAAGCACGGCCGGCAGGAGCTGCTGGCCCTACTGGTACGCTTCGCGGGCCAGCACCGGCTGCCGGTGAACATCAACGCGCGCACGAGCGGCGGCTACACCGCGCTGCATCTGGCGGCCATGCACGGGCACGTGGAGGTGGTGAAGCTGCTGGTCGGGGCCTACGACGCGGATGTGGACGTGCGTGACTACAGCGGCAGGAAGGCCTCGCAGTACCTGAGCCCGAGCACCGCCGAGGAGATCCGGACGCTGGTGGGCGCCCTGGACGAGGACGAAGGCGAGAGCGCGGCGGGCAGCGGGGGAGGGCGCTGGAGGCTCTCGAGGGTGCTGCCCTCGCACCTCATCTCCGGCAGGCTCTCCCACGCTCTGGAGGACGGCGGGGACCATCACCACCACCTGGCCGAGGGGTTGGCGGCGAGCAAAGCGAAGGAGCCGAGTCGCAAAGTCTCGGGCAGCTCTAGTGGGCGGATGAAACCCAGACTCAACAAAATCCGCTTCCGAACCCAGATCATCCACACCACACCCTCTTTCAGAGACCCAGAGCAGCCTCTGGAGGAGGGGGAGGACGAGGAAGAGGACCGGTCTCTTAAAGGCCATTCGTCCTCTTTCAAATTGAGACCTAAGTCCAATGTATTTGGGTAAAAATCATTTCTTTAGAAAGTTCTGAGACTTGTTTGTCGTCAGGAATAGGATAGTAGGTGTAGACAAGAAAGTGAGACCAGAAAAGACGCTGAAGGCTGTATTCTTAATCCAAGGGGTCTCCCCAGCAATGTGGCTGCAGTGGCTTTCCCAGTGATTCCTCCAACCTTTACTTCGGCCCCCTGCCCCCTGCAGCCTCTCTGCCCTGGAGTCGCTGTTTCGGAGGACTAGCAATGTAACTAAATCTGGTGCAGAGTTGATGATTGCAGGTTCCTTTGATTTAAACATTGCCGGTTGCCATGCAAAGTAAGGAATATTGCACTTTACAGTATCTTTTTTAAAGTGGTTACTCTTCCAAGAGCTTCTCTTGTGGCTCAGCTGGTAAAGAATCCAACTGCAATGGGGGAGACCAGAGTTCAATCCCTGGGTTGGGAAGATCCCCCTGGAGAAGGGAAAGGCTACCCACTCCAGTATCCTGGCCTGGAGAATTCCGTCTACCGTATAGTCCATGGGGTCGCAAGAGTCGGACACGTCTGAGCGACTCTCACTTTCACTTTGCACTCTTCCAAGAGCAACAAGATGTACGCAAGTAGTAATGAACTGGTAGTATTTGTAAGTGTAAACAAAACTACATACCGCCGTCCGTTTTTACTAATTGCATTTGCTCTAAGATACTACTGATGGCCAGGTCAGTTTACATGCACAAATACTAATTAGAGAATAATGTGAATACAATTGGGAATTCTGTTGGTACCCTACTTGTAAGTTGTGTTCAACTCTTCAAAAGCTGTTTCAGCTTTAACCACTTAACTGAAAATACAGGCAACTTTCACTTTTGAGTTAATCTGTTGGATGGTTTCCTCTTAACTATCTCTAACACCCCTGCACTCAGTATTAAGGTACATTATTAATAACTACAGGGCTTCCCTGATAGCTCAGTTGGTAAATATTCCACCTGCAATGAGGAGACCCCAGTTAAGTTCCTGGGTGGGGAATATCTGCTGGAGAAGGGATAGGTTACCCACTCCAGTATTCTTGGGCTTCCCTTGTGGCTCAGCTGTTGAAGAATCCGCCTGCAATGCCAGAGACCTGGGTTTGATCCCTGGGTTAGACAGATCCCTTGGAGAAGGGAAAGGCTACCCCACTCCAGTATTCTGGCCTGGAGAATTCTGTGGGGTGTATAATCCATGGGGTCTCAAAGAGAGTCTGACACGACTGAGCGACTTTCACTTTAGCAACTACACAAGTTTTTATTTAAGAAAACACTTGTAACAACCTATGGTACTCCTAGGAAAATATTGCCTCTGGTTATTCTCACAAACTTGTTTTGCTCTTGTAAAAGTCTGAATTTTTCGGAGTTTTTGTTCTGGGGCTTATACAACTGTTGGTTCTACTTGATGTGACCATCTTTGTGCTTAGAGTTGAATTGCCTACAGAAACTGTTGCTGGTTTAGGTGATGAGCAAAAATGTAAATATTAGCTGATGCTTCTATGAAGTAATTATTAAATCAACTTAATGATTCTCACATAAGGTACACTTTTTATTTTCCAATGAAATACATTCATAATCTCAATATTTTGTAGCAGTGTTTTGCAAATGTTTAAAATACTAAATCCTTTTAGTTTTCACGTTTCTTTGAATCAATTAGAGACAGAGTGAAGGTATTGGGAAGCTGGCTAGTAAATCTACCCAGTTAAAATTAGCACTATATAAAAAAGGGAAAGATAATAGATGGGACATTTTCTATATTTAAATGCTGCTGGCTATTGAATCCTTTTATATATAGGTGAAAAATATCATTCATTGCAATTAAACACATAAGTGTACTTAATTACATTTCATTCAAATATGTTAGGGTGAATGTCTTTATAATTATTGTTAAATTTAATTCAGAAACATTAAAATCACTTGTAATAGGATTCAAAGCAATTTGTGAAACACCTAATTCCAAAAACTCCTTCTCCCTTGGTCTTTTTCGTGTCACAGTTCCTGAAACATGCATTTTGCAGCCTATGGAGATGACAGTGTGTGTTCACAGCTTGCAGAGTGAATGAACCAATACAGGAATTGCACAGAACTGCAGTGTTTAGAGAATTCTTAAATCTTTAATTTCCCAAATTGTAGAAATTTGTAACAAATTGGTCACACCTCTCTAGATAGCAGTTGAATTTGTTTAAAGGCTAATGAAAAGTATCCATATAAACTATTGTGCATTCATGTGCCTTTAGTTTTGTTTTAGGATTACGGGAATGGGCTATGTACATTTGAGAAGCACTTTTATCCATACATGTAGGTGAAAAACAATCTAATTTTGTATAAATTAAAAATAGGTTCCTATCTAGTACAGGATAAGTTGTAATTTGTCACCAAGTCTTAGACTTACAGAAGCTGAAGTGAGCCGTAAAAACACTGCAGAACAACCTCTATGTTCTCCTGAACAGTGTTAATCTCTTAAATGTGTATGGTTGATTTAGTCACTCAGGCATGTCTGACTCTTGCAACCCCATGGACTGTTGCCTGCCAGGCTCCTCTGTCCATGGAATTTTCCAGACAAGAATACTTGAGTGGGTTGTTGTTAGTACCTAACTGCACAAAATCTATAATTTGCTAGATCTTTAGAAACTGAGTCAATGCTTAACTTGCTTTTCACTTTAAACATTTTAACTTTTCTGATAAAATGTGCTTTAAAGTTTCAAAAATCATTCCTGGGGGAACAATTTCCAGGATTCCTTGTCATGAGGTACTTTTGTGCA